GTCATCCACCATTTGATGATAGAGCTCACAATCATCGTTTGATTTTTGATATATGTGAAGGTTTACGACCACCAATACCACCTGGAATGCCTGACGATTATGCACAAATGATGCAGAGATGTTGGGATGTGGATCCATCAAAAAGACCAACTAATGGAGAGCTTCAGAAATTTGCTTATGATAAACATAACGAAATTATTAATAATGAAATTCTTGAAAATAAAAGGTTAACAAATAAGAACTTAAAAAATAATAGTTTAATAAAAAGATTATTCGGATTTTCTAAAATCAAAAAACATGAAATTGATTTTAATGATGGTAGCAGCAGCAGCAGCAGCAGCAGTGGTAGTGATCCGCAACAAGCACACTAATCACATCCAGATGCACATCAAACAAGTAGAATATTAGATGAAGAGATTGCTAAATCTAAAAGCTTAAAAATTACAAGTAATAGTTCGTTAAATAATCTTGATTGTGACTCTTTTTTCTAAATTTGAATAAAAATTTCATTACTAATTAATTGGAAATTACTATCCATTACTAACAATATCAATTGATTAATTAATAAACATTAGGTTCTAGTAACAATCGTAATTTAATCTCCGCTATAAATTATTACCTTATTTTTATTTATCTTTTTATTTCATCCTTATTTTATTTCTTATCTTGTAACAATATTTTGAAATAAACTTTTACAATTTTTCAATTCTTGTTAAATGGTGATATTGCGAGGTATCATTTCGGTTAATTAACAATTATGAGTTAACTTTTGGGCTACTCTTGTCAATTAATTAGTTTACAAGTTCCTCCTAGACGAATTTATAAGCACACTTAATAACACCAGATAACTATAAATAAACAAATATGGCCTTTTGCAATACTATAAAGTTCATTTTATTTATTCACTTGTGATTGATTTGTTTTAGTTGTTTACCCTTGTTTACATTTATTGGCCGATTTCAAAATCGTCTTGGTTTACTTGCAAAACAACTTAAGTAGCTTGTTTAACAGCCTTACATTTGTGATTACAATAACATTTTATTATCATTGTCGACTCAATGCAACATTGTTTTGCTTCTTGGGTGCTTCTATAAGAAATTTTCTCTTTTTAACTTCAATATATTTTTAATTATTTGAGGATCAACTTCTAAATCTTTTTGTTGTATATATTTAAGCGCATTTTCAACCATTTATAGCTTCTGTATTTGTTACAATTGACTCACTTGTCTTATCAACACCCTCATTATCTTCAACTTCAGGTTGCCCCAACACTATGTTTACAATTTCTTGTTCCGTCATTTCATAATAAATTCGTCAGCATTAAAGAAATAAAAAAAAATGACATTATATATAAGTGTCATTTCCAAGAAATAGTTAACAATATGTTCGATTAAAAATGTTGTTAATATTTAATATTAATATTAATAATACATCATTACGCTTATTTATTATACGCTTATTACTGTATTATTATAAAATTAGGCTATCCAAAAAAGGCAAGAATCATCATTATCGTAATATCGAGAGAATTTTATTGGTATTGGTATTGGGTTTTTAAAAAATATCCATCAAATTGAATATTAATATAGAAAAATTTGGTTTTGAAAATTTATCCATTAAACCCCTAAATCCGCTAAATCGAGGTCCGTTAAATCGAGACTCGCTGTGTATTTCATTCTAACGGGCGGGAGATAGAGAAGGAAAACATCGCACTGCACAAGAATTGCCAAAGATGCTAAATGAATGTGTTACGAATAATACTAGCTTAAAAACTTTCCTTAAAGATGTTCTTACATTTAATTTATCATTTGAAAATGGAACGGCTACGTTGGGGAGAAGTAATCGAATCCTTTTCAATTATTGCACAGAATTACTAAACATCGCAATCAAGAGTTCAACAGTCTGATTGTAATTATTATTATGGATAATTTACAAATAGCAATGGGAAACCCTAAGGAAGGAAATCATTATTCAGAATAGCTGAGCAAGCCTGCTTATTTGAAACCTATTATCCTTCGCCTTATTCTGTCACATACACCGGTTGACAAAACTCAATATATTATTGGACTTGAAGGAATAAATGTAAATAATATCATGCAGTTTGACCTTGTCAGATATGAGAGTTCAAACCTAGATCAACTGCGTGGATATCTCACATATATCCATGGATCATGGCACATGCAAACCAACGTGATACCTTGTTACAGAATTGGGATTTGACTTGCTACAAAGAGCAATGCAGTATGGGAGACCCTGGTATCGCCAATTCTGGCAACATTTTGAGTATTTTGTTGCCCAATTTCGTTCTCTAAAACTGAATATCTATGATTCTGGACAGAAAGTCAATCTTAGTTGCATCCATAATAGTGCCATACATACATTTGATCAAGCTTCCATATTCAATCAATCATTTAAATTATCAAATCAATTGAAATAATCGACACTAAGTCTGAAGACCAACCTGCAGAAATTTCGTGTGAGAATGAACTGTCAATATTAATATTGCAAAAGCGAGTCATATTATAATCAATGCATATGCTGTTCTATTTTGGGATAGTTTTTGTCTGATATACACAGGCGACTACAAACAGAGGTACATCAATGCAAATTGTTGAGATCAGAGAGCATTACTCTGAAAATTTTTAATGATGAACATAAAAAGGCAACAAGTACAAATGATGTTTTCATTTTCTATACAACAGCATTTTCCAAGCAATTTGATGTCTGGTATTTGTTCATGTAGGCAATTGGAAAGGATATTTTAAACCTTTTGCCAGAAGATTCTATAATTATATTATGGAACTGCCAAATATTGATAGTGCAACTTTCACCCAGCCGACTTGAATGCCAGGAATCGCAAAACTCGTGCTATCAATATCATGAAAGAACGAGATAAAATGCAGAATTTCTGATATACAAGATTGTCAAAGAGAACAAAAATTCCGTGTATATATATTGAGCCATTTTTTCAGGTAATAATTAGGATGGCATTTTCTACTTTATGAAATTAATCACAAAGATTATGATTATTGTTAAACATTATATTGCATGAGAGCCTTCCTTTTATTTTCTCAAGTATAATCGATTTTCCTGTATAGATGTTTATTTAAATCAACCGGTATATAGTGGTAGCAGAATTTTATATTACATTTGCCATTTTTAAATAATAAAATAGAGGTCAATTGATGTCATTTGCCATACTCCACCATAGAGTGAATTATATAATAAATAATGACGTGTGTTTTTTGTGGAAGAATAAATGTCACAGAATGATATTTATAGAAGTATTGAAGAATATGCGTTCACTGAAAAAAAATAAAAGATTTTTAGAAAGTGCCCCCAAACGATTCAAAGATTATATTGATGTTTGACCCGTCTTATAACATTAATCAGTCAATAATTATTATTCTTGCAGCTACCTTGAAATATTTTATTTATCTATCTGACTTTTGGGGAGGGAGTCCCCGCAATTGATACATCAAGGTGATATCGATTACTGAATGTTTTTATTATCGAAAGTCCAGAACTAAATATAATATGGTTTAATCCTAACCATTATTGTATGCTTATTATCTTTTTAATTTTTTTATTGATTGTGCAGAAGTTACATAAAAGAAACATTTGTTTTTATAGGGGTAAGGAAAAATACATATTACCATTGAGCCCCTAAATATTTTATAGTAAAAAACGCTTCTTTTTAAGATTCGTGGATTAAATTCCTGTCATCACGAGTAAAATTTGGTCCTTCTTTAGCCATTGCTTACGGCTTTTGAAATAGATCCAGGGTGACAAGAATAAAAGTTTTACCTATTTTGAATTTTATTATGGAATCAACTATGCTGCCATATTCCTATCCCATTTCTAGCGGCTACTAAATCCGAGTTTCCGAAGCTAAAGAAGAAGAAAAAAAAAATGATTTGGACGAAGTTACCGGAGAAAAAGTAAATTTTCCTAATGCTAAAAAAATCTTTCAGATATTATTATTATTATTGCAATGAGTCAACAATTTTTTAAATTACCTTCTAGTGAAATCGGCAGTAATCATGAGGGTTTTTTGACATCGGCTCCAGTCAAAGCCCACGGTTTTTAGGAATTTTTATTTTTTTCAAAGTAATAATAATAATGAAATTTTAATCAACTAAAATTATTTTTAATTTAATAAATAAAAAAGCACGTCGTTAGCTATTGCAGGCGAAGACTATTGTATATTAGCTTCTGATACTCGTCAAAGTAGAGGATACTTGATTAATTCAAGATATTCTCCTAAAGCTTTTAAATTGCGAGTAGATCTGCTTGCTTTATTGATGCATTAATTCCTTGTTTATTTTTCTGGTTGTTTGATTTATTAGATCAGATAAAGCAGCAATTTCTTTGAATGGATATGCAGCAGATGGCATTGCAATGGTTAAGAAACTTAAACAAAAGATGGAGGTTTGTCCAATTCAATTAATTTTACATTCAAATTTAAATTCAAGTAGATCATTATTAGTAAGAATGTTTACACAATTATAAATTTCGCATATTTTACATTTCAGTGGTATGAACACGCACACGATAAAGAGATGTCAACACCAGCTTTGGCTCAAATGATTGCAATCACATTATATGTGAAACGTTTCTTTCCATATTATATTTCCAATACATTGGCTGGACTTGATGAGAATGGTATTGAATGCTATTTTTATTTATTGCATATATAACTTTTTATTGTATGATATCAATAAACCAATGTTAATTGATAAATAGGAAAAGGAGTTATTTATCGTTTTGATCCAGTTGGTTCATTTGAGCCAGTGCCTTGTAATGCTAGGGATCAGGTGAAACTTTGATTCAACCTTTTCTAGACAATCAAGTAAGAAAATTTCATGCTAATGATACATTGTTGTTGTTGTTGTTGTTGTTGTTGCTGTTGTTATGCTAGCATATGTTATTAAAAGTTTTTATATAATTATTAATCATATTTACATATTTATATGTTTAATTCAGGTTGAATTTTTAAAAACCAACGAAATATTGATAAAGTACCATTACCACTTGATAAAGCAATTACTATCGCAAAAGATGCGTTTACATCAGCTGTAGAAAGATATATATACACTGGCGACTATTTAGAAATATTTGTTATTACAAAAGATGGAGTTGAAATTCAATCATATGATTTGAAGAAAGATTAAAAGCAAACAAACCAGTAGGCAGGAAAAATTAAATTTATATATATATAAACTTAAAAATTAACAATTTAATATATAATTATGACATTCACAATTTCAACTTTTTCACTTGTTGTATCTTACATCTCATCCTCCCACTTGTAATAATTTGAATAGCCATCATCTGCGCCAAGTTTAAGCTCCTCAACAAATAATTTATCATTAATCAATATATTAATATTAATATGGGACATAAAGATTTCAGGGGCTAGATTAATGATTAATACCCTACTACTATTACTATATTAATATACTTCTTTAGCAGAAATTGCTCCCTCTCAAATTATTCATTTTTTTATTATAAAAGGAAAATTGACCGATAAACTATTTGAGCCAAGAATTCCGACATTCAAAGAATCTAATTAACTTTGTTTGAAATACAATAAATCTTTCATCCTTAATAATCCTCAACTAAAATGCTCACTATTTACTAGTAAGTTCTTTTGTGGATTATCTATTAATTGGATTTTTCCTTGGCTTTTTACTTTGTTATGATAACATTTGCAAGAATCGCCACTTATCTATAATATAAACCAAAAAAATCGATGAAATATTTGATGATGCAATAAAGTCTGGAAAACCTGAAATCAAAACATAAATCAATTGGTGGACAAAAGTACTTGGAGGATGTTGATAGGCCGTGGAAAGATTTTAAACGTTATTTTGATAAGAAATCTCGAGTTATCTGGAGAAGGAAAAGGAATTGCTGCACCACCATAAAAAACCCTCTACCAACAAAAAACGATAAAAGTGGAATGGGTTAATAAGGAAAAAATAAAATAAAATAAAGAAACGGGCAAATATTTCCTCCGCCACAGTGATAAATGGCTTTGGGTTTGAGAACATCAGATTTATTATGCCCAATCCGCACCACAACCATAAAAATATTTGAAATATCGGTCCATTTTATTCCGAAGGATACCCTCACTTGGACCTGAACTTGTAACTTTTAACAAACTTCAATTTGTTCATTTCCGATTTTTCAACTTGGCGCATTTAATTGTTTTAAAATCTTAATAATCAAACAACTACTGATGTAGGACCAGTGGTGTGCATTAGATCACTAATAATTGTATAGTTTATGTATTTTAGGAAGGTACAGAAGTGCTAAGGCTTATTATATTGACATTATTTCACCCTCTATATACATCCTTTTTAATTTTAAACGATTAAATAATACAAAAATCTCCAGGAAAAGGTATTGGTAGAGGAGGAATAAAACGACATAAAAAACAATATTAAAGGGATTACGAATCCAGCCATCTGAATACTACTAGCATGATGTGGTGGGGTCAAACAAATTTTCAGCCTTATTTACGAATGAACAAAGGGAATCTTAATAAATATGGCTCTTCAATTAATTGCGACTAGTTGCAGCTAACTATTACTCCCATCTTTAGCCTTAAAAGCATTCCTCAAAGGCGCAATCAGAAACGTTGCTACCTATACGGGGCACGTTAAACGTATGACAATAACATCGCTTGATGTAGGTTAGCTGCAAAAGCATGTTTAGAAAATCATCAAAAGAAAATGAAGATAAAGCGAGACCAATTCTAATATTGTTATTTCAACTAAAAAACTTGAGAAACATATACAGCATGTGTTGAAGTAAAGTCTGACTTGTTTAATGGGTGTTCTTTTTTGGATCAAGCAAGTGGAAATACTTTGTCTGTTTGTTTGCTTATTTATAAAAACTATAACAAGAAGATTTAATAAAAGTAGTAATAATAATAGGCATTAATATTCGCATTAACAGGTCTAGCAAGCGAAGAAGATAAAGAGCTGGTGTATGAGAGTGGTGTAGATGGATTTCTGACTAAACCGGTTAGTCTGAAAATGTTGGAACAAATTTTTAAGAAATGGTCTGAAAGTTGCATTAGTAATAATGATAGTGGTTACGGCAGTAGTAGTTTTGATTCAAGTAAATTGATTATCAATGATGGCAGTAATGGTAATGGTAATAAAGATAATAATAACAATAGTGTCTATAATAATAATAAAAGAGAGGATTTAAGAAAAAGATCATTTTAACTGGTCTCTGATGAAGCATCATTATCATTATTTAATTTATTTATTTTTATAAGATAAATTAATTAGCTAGTAAATACCAACTATTACATTTTTTAACTTACATTTCTTACATAATAAATATCAATTCAATTGTCTAATTAAACAGCACGAGTTCCTTTTATATGAATAGAGATCCGTAGATATCGTTCGACACATTCTTTCTGATGAAATGTTATAACAATCATGAGCACCTCCATCTATATAATAATTGTAATGAATTATTGTTAACAAATTTAAACCATTTATAATAATAATAATCCGAAAATAACCCCTATTAATTGAGCACCTACAAAAATTGTCACCTTTTCATTTAAATTATATTTTTAATATAATATAGTATTAATCAGATTTTGTGGATATATAGTATATAATAGTATAAGTATTATATGAACATACGGATGATAACATTAGCTTAGTAGAAAGAATAGATGTAAGGCTGAAATATTTGAAATATTTACTTTTTAAAGAAAATATACGTGACATGATAATGATAACAAAAGAAAATATTGTTTGAAAGATATCCAAGAATGATTGATCTACTAAACTAAAATAATAGTTGCAATAGTTATCAAATGCCAAAGATATATTCGTCATTGAAAATGACAAGTAAATTGTTTGCTCAAATAAATGATTAAATTATTAACAAGTTATTTTTTTATACCATCAATTTTTAAAAATCTACCCCAAACAGTTTCTTTACTTGTCGTTTCATTGACCTCCATTTTAATGAAATAGCATTGTTTTTTCTTGATATTCCATTCATTTGTAGTTCATTACAATTTATCTTCTTTCGAAATACATGATTTAGGAGAATGATCGATTCTTCTATTGACCATTTGGTATTCCAAGCAGTCACAAACCTCCTTTCGTCAAGGCTTTCCAATTCACTATTATTATCATCATCATCATCATTACCATTACCATTACCGTTCTCATCTTCATCGCTATCAACATTATCATCATTGCTATCAGCATTATTAATAACATTACCATTCTCATCGTTATTGCCATTAATATTAATGCTATCTTCATCATTTCCATTAACATCATCGTCATTATTATTATTATTGCTGTCAACATTATCATTATCGTCACTATTAATATTAACATTAACATTATAATTATCATTAACATTATCATCATTATTATTATTATCATTATTATTATCATAAACTTCTTCAATTGGTACCACTTCAATTTCCTCTTTCTCTTCCTCCATCTCTTCCGCTTCTCCTCCCTCTTCTGAATCCTCCTCCCTTTCTTCTTCTCCTTTTTCTTCAAAAATTTCCATCTCTTCCAAATTTTTATCTCTTTCCAATTCTTTCTCTCCTTCCAACTCTTTCTCTCCCTTGAGTATATTTTTTTTAAAAAAATGAATTAAATTATGATACGATAAACTTTTATTATTAATAATAAACAATAATGAAGATACCTCGTAAATAGCTTTTAATAACTCAAGCAGTTGTAACGGTTTCAATGGTGTCATTCCTTCCTGTATATTGTCTTTGATGTCATCGAATAATGCATCCAAGTCAATACATTTGCCAAGATCGCTATAATAATTGATATAATATTTTAGAGAGAAAAAAAAATTTATAATCAGTAAACTATAATGACGACAATGCACGCGAAAAAAAAACAATAACTACTCTCGATCAGCAGCGATTCCTTCTCGTCTTGTTCTTTTTCTTTTTAGCTCAAAGACCTTTTTTTTTTTTTGAGTATTAAGATAATGAAATTCAATAAAATTAATTATGTTCAAAAAATTCTTCGAACGTGCCAATAAATATTTCTCCTTGTGCAACACTATGCTTTTTGATATACCACGCGATTTTTTTTTTCATAATAATAATAATAAAAGAAACATGTTGTCACAGATTTATTTTCATACTGATTGATTCTCTATTTTTTTTTTTAATACAATAATAAAAAACATAATATAGATCAAAAGCTCAAGTCTTGCATATTACATATGTAAACTCAATAAGTCGGACACAAATGGCTGGACATGGTGTCCGACTTATCAAGGGATCCGACTTATCAAAATATGCAATTTTACAAAATAAAAAAATAAAAAAAAATAAGAAAATCGTTGTTTAAATCATATTTATTTATTTATAATAATAATTGAAAAAATAATTTAATTAAACAGATAGAAGATAAAACAAAAAAATCTCTACTCTTTATCTAAATAAATATTCATACTGGTTTGTACTAAAGAATTATTTTGTTTTCTATTAATTTTCCATTTTAAATCTTTTAATCATTTAATGATGAGACAACAAAACGTGAATTTATTTAATGATGAGATAATAAATGACATAATTGATAAATATAACAATAAAATACATTATTTGCAAAGACAAATTTTTTAAAATGATTATAATTGATAATAATATTATTCACAAATGAAATTATTATTACAAAAATTTATTGGATAATACATTACTAAAAATAGTAAAGATTATCTCTCAAGATTTACGAAAATCACGTGAACCGACTTATTGAGAGTCATTTATTATTATCTGGCTGGAGGAGTTGTCCGACTTACAGCTTAACAAGAGTTGATATATGTGTCCGACTTATCAAGAAATTTTTAAATATAAAAAAAAAAGGGCCGGAAATTTTTGTCCGAGTTAGGCCAAATCCGACTTATCGAGTTTATCTATGTAGGATCAAAAATGGCCCTATCCTTAGAGAGATTTATCAAAAAATTTCTTTATTTGCAATTTGACAAAAAAGAACCAAATTATAATTAGAGATGGGAAATTTCAAAATTTCATGCGCATCATGCACGTTTTATGCATTGCATGTTTTTAAAAAAATATAAAAATGAATATCTAAATACAATTTTCAATATTATTATCACTACCACTGCCTCCTTTTTCTTCACCATTTTCTATCCTAATTGTTTCATTATCATCCTCACTTTTATCATTTTCGCTTCCCACATTTCCATCACCATCAATTGTAATATCCATATCATCATTGTTGGCATTTTTTGGACATTTTAATTTATAATTAAAACAAATATACAACAATTTAAATCACATTCAGGTGCCAACAGTTTATTTCTCTTTTTATCATTTATAAAAGAAAAAGTAAACTAATTCCTTTTAGAAGCAAAGCTGATGAAATTATCAATCCTACCCAGTTTAGCAAATGAGGCCAAATTTTTGATTTTGTCATTTTCTTAAAAATACTATCGATAATATAATTTGTAAAAATTAAAATTCGCATGTTTTTTTTGAATAAAATTGTGTACGGGACATTGCATGATTTGAAAAAAAAATCATGCGCATGTCACATCTCTAGTTATAACCTATTATTTATGAAAGTAAGCATTACCACTACATGTTATAGAAAAAAAGATATTACTATTAATTTCTTCATTAGAGTTGTGATTAATTCTATATAATATTGAAGAGTAGCAGATAAAGATTTACTTTAGATGCCTAAAATAATTTCTTTATTATCTAAATCTGTTATTTATATAAAATAGACGTCGTTATTATACATTCAAGGTAATAATTATTAACATACGTTGTGCTTTTGTTTTTGTTTCTTATTTATTTATTGGTTTTTTCAAATTTTAAATCTCTATAATTTATGTTAAATATTAAAATGAAACTGAGGCGCGATTGAGGCGCGATAATAGCTCTATTAAACAAATCATCTGTAAAGCTAAGCGTAAATGATCTTTAGGAGATGATGGGGGTATTTTTCAATTAATTACTTTAATAATAATTGATGTGTTCAAGCTCTCTATGTGACTCGGTGATTTTAGGCACAGCAATAAATTATTATTCCAAAACAAGTTTGTGAAACATATATGTAGATTATTAATTCGATTACAAATTATTTCAAATAATTAATTAATAATCTATGAACATTAAAATCTATAAATACAGCATGACATGCCTGGACAAAATATAAACATTCATTAAATACAAATCCTAATTATTCAACAAACTATGGAACAAACAACTTTTACTACAGAAAATCGTGTATTACCATGTTATTACATCTCTCATGGTGGTGAGTATATTAATTAACACGTCCCAAGATATCATGTGACAAATGATGCGTGTATATATTAATATTAGTTAATAATACAATATTGTATATATCATTAGGTCCACCATTGGTGTTAAATCATGATGATAAAGCCTATAACTTTCTGAAAAGTTGGGGAGAAAAGATTTTAAATGAGATAAAACCAAAAGCAATTGTTGTAATTTCGGCTCATTGGGAAACTGATGATACAATCAAAGGTATTATTTATTTACACATATATGATGAATATAAGAAATAACAATAATAATAATTGATGATTGCAATAGTTGGTAGTTTTGATAATACAACACCCATTATTTATGATTACTATGGATTTCCTGATAAAATGTACAAACTAAAATATCATTCCAAAGGCTCTCCAGAATTAGCCAAGAAAATTGTGGATTTATTAAATGAGGTGATTATTATACATAATATTTGAATTGAATAATTTCTTAAAGAAAACTAAAGGTTATTATTAATTGATCAATCTATAATTTATTTTTCATAGTCCAAAATCAAATCAGAAATTGAAAATAAACGTGGTTTGGATCATGGATGTTGGATTCCATTAAAAATTGCAATACCAGATCCTAAAGATTTACCAATTATACAAGTTTCTTTGAAACGTCATGCTTCATACGATTTTCACATTAAAGTTGGTAAAGCTTTGGCATCTTTAAGGTAGCTATTTTAATTCTAACATTCCAATCCTAATTCCAATTCCAATTATAATAACTAATTTCTCAATTAAAAAGAAAACAAGGTGTTTTAATAATAGGATCTGGATCTTTGATTCATAATCTGAGAGACATGAATATTCATAATATGTTTAGTTTGGCTCCTTATTCTCAACCATTTGAAAAAGACGTTGATTCTTATGTTACGAATTTTGTTGGTAATGAACGTGAACAAAAATTAATCAAAGATTTATCATCTCATCCTCTGTTAAGAAAAGCTCATCCAACCGATGATCATCTAGTTCCGTTACATTGTGCAGTTGGTTCTGCTGGTTCTGACCCCGGTAGGAAAATATATGAAGAATTAATAAGCTCTTTAAGCATGGGTGTTTATGAATTTGCCAAGAATTAATATTGAATTTATTAAATTTATTAAATTTATTATTGCATTTTTTGTATTTTTATTTAATAGTTTGTATTTTATTTTATTTACTTATTTGAACTTACTAATATCAATTTATATAGATTTATAAATGTGTAAATTTATGCATATCTATATATATATAATATTTGTAATAATGAATGAATAATAAATAAATGAATAATGAATACAATTCTTCTATTTATATGTATGCATGTATAAACATTGCTTTCTAGAATAATTGTTATGGTTTAGAAGGTGAATAATTAAGATCCCAGAATCCAGATGGTTCATCTTCAGGAATAAATTTGTATCGATGTCTTGATACATGTTGTTTACGAGCTTTTAAAAGTTCTTCGCTATCTTTTAAGTCTTCATGATTTTTTGCGTCGTTAATTGGTAATGGTGAATATATACTAGGTGGTAAAGGTAAGGCCCCTGTGATTTTATAAAACTAAAATAAATAAAAAAAAAAATATTAATAATAATAAATATTTATAATTATTGAAAGATGATGATATACTAACATCACGACATTCAATACAATCAGTAGCTTTTAATTTAGCACGTTCACTTTTCTTTCTTGTAACGGAAATGTATTTTGCAGGTTTTGATGAACAAGTATGACGCATGTGGGGCGGATTTGTCTCTTTTTAATGTGATAGAATTGAAGTTATAGATAGTGATTATTGGGTGATTTAGTGTAACATTAGATATGTAAAAAAAATTTTTAAATTTTGACGAATGAAATCCATAGATGATGATAAGTTTTTTAAAAATTATATCGGTGGAATTTTCTGGTTCTAGCCAAATTTGAGAAATCATACGTACAAAGTTAAATCTCAAATTATATATATACAGGTAACACAGTAACACATAAGAAAAAAGTTTATTTACTAAATAAATTTATATATGCTAACCAAATTTGGAAGTGATGTTATTATCCGTCGTAAAATCTGGCTGATCGAATGGGTGGGTGGATTTCATTTTTGATGCCCATTTTTGGTAGTTTTGATGCCCTCCATCCATTGAATATGATTCATGTAAAAAATGTTTTGTAATAAAATCGTGTGTACATGTTTGTGGATTTTAAATTACACGCGAGGTAGTATCGATCGTGAGTTTTATAATTAATTAAATTTTTTGTGTTATCATTATTATTGTAACACAAGTTGTGGATGGCTTTTTTTTTTGGAATTATTAAATTTAACCTTTAAAAAAACTTTTGTTATTTTAAATTTTTTAATTAATTTTATTAATTTTATTAATTTTATTATTAATTTTAATATACAAAAAAAAAAAAAATTATATATGATGGAGAGGGAATTCTTTCTATCTTTCTTGACTTAAGTACTATATAATATCTACAAGAAAAAATTAAAAAAAAGGGAGGGAGGAGAGAAAAACGAAATCTATATAATGTCTTAATTAAAACGAAATTTTTTGTTTGTGTTTACGAGAAGAAAAATAAATAAAAAATAAATTAAAGATTACCGAGATTATTATTAATTAAAATTAATACTTATATAATATATTCTTAAATATATCTTAAAAAATCATAATGTAAATATACATATTATATATGTATATCTTAATAATGCATTAATACGTATGTAACTATTATGACATAATCAATAGTTCAAAATCAGCGAAACAATGAGTATGATGTAACTATGAATATGATGTAATTATATATATGATGTAATAATGAATATGATGATGTAATGATGTAAATTTTTAATTTGAAATCTTAAATTTCATAATGATAAGAATCAAACACTTTATTATTGTTAATATCATTATCAGAAGATATTAAATTAAAAAAAAAATTATCATTATTATTATCATTATTATTATTTGAATATATATTAAAAATGTTTTCAAGTGTATTATTATTACTAGCAACTGTTTCCGTATCATGCAGAGATAATGAAGGAGAAGAAATACTAGAAATACTTTCATCAGAAGATAAATCTGGTGTGTGATGTAGATATTGTTGCAGATATTTAGCACCGTTATTGTCATTATTATTGTTTTCGAATAAATTTTGTTCAGCGGTAGTAATTGGTTCTTGTAGCAACATTGAAAATGTCATCTGTTGATCTTGTTGCAATTGGTTATTGTTGCCATTTTGTTGTTGTTGATAATTTTGTTGATGTTGATTATAAAAAAATGAATTGAGTAAATCATTGAAATTATCTCCATTTTGAATATTTAAGAAATCTGAATTAAAAATGTCTTCATTTTCGTTGCTATTATTATTATAATCTTGGTAATTGAAATCAACAGTTTCGGGTGAATAAATTGGAGCGGAAATTCCAAATTGCGGATTATCCATATTGTTATTATTATAAATATTGTTGTTATAATTATAATAATTATAATTATTACTAATGATATTATTTTCCATGTTGTTATTATTGTTGTTACCATCTATATTATCGTTGTTGTTAATAATATCTGTGTTATTGCAGATCTTGTTTTTATTATTTTTCCTTTTGCTGTTATAATTATTATTATATATTGTTGTAGTTGTGTTGGTATCACTGTTAACTATTACACTGATGTCGTTACTATCTTCGTCCAATTCTTCATCGTCGTCATGATTCACTTCATAGTGTTTTAAGAGATTAGGACCTTGAAATGATACAACATTCCAAGTTTCTTTTCTTTTCTTCCTTTTATCTTTAGGGAACATTGCTTTCTTTTTCAAATGAGCTTCTTTTGAAATACGTTTGTATTCCGCTTTAACCTCCTCAGGCTCTTGTTCCCATGAAATCGAGGCCATAGAAGAGATTGCAGTCATTGGGAGATTATGACCTTCATCACGAGCAACTTTAACAAACACTTTACGATAGATAATGAATGCGTTAGGGGCACGTGATGGTTTGTGTGGTTCATCAAACAAAGAAAAAGATTTATTTGGTTGAAGTAATTCTGCAAGGTTAATTATAGGTGGGAATGGGATTTTAATTTGTGGAAATGACGATGATGATCTCTTTGTATTATTCATTGCGAAAAAAGAATCAAATTAAAAGTTAAATATAAATTCAAAAGTTTTAAAGTTTTTTAAAGTTTTTTAAAAAAAAGTTTTTTTTTTCTCTTTGTCTCTTTTGATATTTTTTTATTTACTAATTACTTGTTACTTGAGTCTTTGGAATTGAAAATCAAAAAAAAAGCAAAAATCGGATATTTATACTTTTATTTTTTTTATTTAGGGTTGTTGTGTTCAATACGTCACAAAATTTTTAAACTAACTGTTTTAAAAATAGGACAAAAAAAATAAATAAATTATTTTTTCTGTATATTAAATATTTTAATATTCTAAATTTAGACACTTATGATGTAAACATTAAATAATAAGGATAAAAATAAATTTTTTTCTAAACAAATTAGGAAATCAGACGATCTACAATATATTTTCGTGCATCGAAGATCGTACACGAGTTTATTTTTATACTAATACTCAAAATTCTATGATGCATTGTTTTGATTTAATTTAAATAATTGTTTCCGTTTGTTTTTTAAAACTATTTATAAATATTAAATAATGTTTGTTTATTTTTGACTTTTAGGAGATTATTATCTGAAACGCAAGGCAACGACGATGCCGACGGACAATTTAAAAAACCATTGAACCGTGTTTGACTGATTGGCTGGTTGGTTGGTTGGTTGGTTGGCTGGTTGGCTTTGTTGGTTTGTTGGTTGGTTTGTTGGTTGGTTTGTTGGTTTGTTGGTTTGTTGGTTTGTTGGTTTGTTGGTTTGTTGGTTTGTTGATTCTAAATAATGATAAAAGCGTGAAACAATCGTTGAAGAAGTTCGATGAAAGCATGATAAAGATCAAAGAAAGTAATTGTTAGATGTTCGATACGAAAAAGAAAGAGTAAAAGAGGCTCTAAAGGATTTGTCACTTAATTGTTATAATTGCTATTATTATTAATGATCATAATAACGATCAAACAATTTCTAGTTGGATTAACGCATTGAAATATCTAGCTAGGATACTCTGGAAATATAGATGGATGTACGTACGTACATGCAGTACAATAATAATGTGATACTTCGCGTGTAAATTAACAACAATAATATGAAACACGTGATTGAACATGTTTTTTAATTTTAAGTTTAATTTAATTGTGACGTAGGCCCAACCATTATTTTGTAATTAATTTAAAAAATTCAAAACCTAAAAATAAAAGTCAACAAATAATTATGCAAGAGTTACAATTTAAAGTATTTATTTATATTACATTGTTTATATTTTGTAATACAAAATAAATAATCTAGGAAATATATATTTTTTTAAATTAAGTAAGGATTTCATCATAAATACCGAGGGAGGCTTTAGTTAATTAATTTTATTAATTATCAAACAATGATTTAATTTAAAAATTACCACATAAATCGGAATAATAATTCCCAGGGTGCGTATCTGATCAAATAAATAGTTCCAAACCTGAAAAAGGAAATTTGATTTTTTCAATTCTCAGGGGTAAAAAAGATATGATCATACCATATAAAAAATTTCCTTTTCAAGATTTTGCTATCTTTATATAGTTTAAAAATATTTGTTGAAGAAATTAATAAATAATAAACATTACTCGTTATTATTATTACATCATTATTATTGTTATTGTTGTTTGGATTTTCATCTATTGTAATTATTTTGGATTAAAGCAAAAATAGTTATGCAAATATGATATTTGAAGATGAACTTCAAGGAATTGAAGAACAATAAAGAATTTCAGCCAAAGAAAATACTATCAACAAAAAAATTATGGACATTATTATATAATGCGGAACAAAAATGGCAAAAGGCGAGATATTAGTATTAGGATATGTTCATTTGTGAACTCGTTTATAGCACTCAAAAAAGGTGATAAACGGCTTAACTTTTTTATTAAACATTTTTTTATCATGCATGCATGCAGAATAAATAAATGGGGTATGGTTCACAAAATAGAGGCGTCTTGGCACAGTCCCAAATGTTTTTATGTATTAGTATGTTAACAAGAATTTTCTAGAATAAGAATTATTTCGCAGGAATTCATTCATTAGTATTAGTATTAGTGTTGGTATTTTTCTCTCATCAAAATATAAAAGATTATTTATTAATAAACACTTAAAAATCTATTCTGATGATAAATGAAAAGCTAATGAAAAGCCAAGGTTTAGGCAGAATTTTAATTTTTTTGTAATTAAATTAAATTCCATATTCTATATTAATAAATTTCTCGTTTTTTTTTAATATCTTGGAATCTTGGCGTTGCCTTCTACAAAAGTTCATTTATTATTAATAGAAATTGAATATTAACATGTAGCGTGATACGTAAACCTTAAAATTGGTTCATTCATTGATTTACTATATGATATGCAAATATGGACATAATACGCCGTCACAAAAATCATCTAAATATAGACAAATGGCTTAAATATGTAAATCTTATTAAATATGGTAATATACACCTTGGGCGAGGTCCTATTACCGTAAAATCAAGAGCTGGTCATATAGGATGCAAACAAGCAGAAAGAGGTCATTGGAAATTTTATCAATGGGAACATTGCTTGCTATTAAAAAATGTCGCAAATTTTTTTATATTGTTTTCCCTATATTTCGTTGGCTCCTAAATTTTCAAGGTAATTTTTAATTATTTTTTTTTCATGAAGTAAAGATCTTTTGATTTTTATTAATAGAAACAATATCTTACACAAACTTTTAGATAATATAAATTTTTTAGTGATGAAATAATAATAAATTGTTCTGCTCAGAGAAGAAAGTATGAAAATTCAAATCAAAAATCCAAAACCTAGTCATGGTAGAATGTCTGACACAGTAATAATTGATTCTAATTTAAACATTGAAATAATGCCGTAAAAGTAGTTGGTCCTCCAACATTTACAAATTAAACTAAATTTAAAAAGAAAAAGTGCAGCTGTTGATACAATCAATTCAAATGTCAAGTAATGAATTAATATTTATTTATTATTATGGTTAAAAAAATATTATTTTTACTTGATAGACTTCATATAATAAATAATTCTTTACATCAATCCTATAAATAATTAAATTTGATGACATCAAATTTTTTTATAATCTATCTATTGATTTGTTACATAAGCAGGTGAAAAAATCAATTAACAAAAATTAATAGGATTTAATAATTGAATTCTTAATATTAATTTATTAACTTTCTAATTCAAAGAAAATACTTCTCCTTTCGGAAAACGTGCAACAGCATAAGTTTTATAATGTAAGACCGAATACTTAATGTGGTAATTTCGTTTCAACGAATTATATGTGAAGCAACACGAAATTAATAAATGCAAAAATTGAGTTTTTTGCATAACGTACATCTATGTCATAAGGATTATAGTTGGTGAAAAATTTAAACCGTGTTTACCTAGTACAATAATGAGATATAAGGCTTGAAATATTTACAAAAACATGTGTAACCATTTTGATTTGATAATTACACGAAACAATTAATAATCTCGATCCCTTTTTTTTGCTGGTGGACATCCCAAATGTCATTATCCCCTGATAAACACCATTTACGTAGTTATGCAGATATCCTCTAGACAATTAATTCATATATACTTATTTTATGCATTTCTAGTATACATAATTAGAAATTATTTATTTTGTAGTAATATTAATATTGTTACATTCAACAAACTTAATTCAATTATTATCATATTAACAAATAAATCATCATGATGTTTTTATTTTGAATTGCCTCTTGCTATTTCAGATAATATATTAGAGCTTACTAGATGTATCTTGTTCTGCATTAGAAAATTTCCATCTTTCTTTTTGTATGTCCCGGCTATTATTATGTTAATTTTGCGATATCTAAATTTTGCATTTCATTTTTTTTTTCAATATGCACTTAATCCTTCCAAAGATCGATATAATGTTACATTAATTATAACTTGTGAATCCGATCCTTGATCATTTAGTTTTTGAGCAGTATATTTTCGTAATGAATGATTTACAATCTTCTGTTTGTACAATCAATTGTGGATTTCTTTTAACATTCCAGAAAGTTTATAACGGCCTATACGAGAAGTAGAATACCAATATCTAAATATAATATTGAAATCAATAATTAAAATACTATGAAAAAAAATGAAACAAATAAATACCTTCAAGATTTTATTTACACGAAGAAAAAAGGTTTCTTCTGCATTTTTTGGCCGCAAATCTAAATATTTCTTGATATCATAGCATGTTCCATGTATTCCTATCTCATCTGGTGGAATATTATGTATAGGATACTGATCAGATGATAATATCCCCCTTGACGAATTTTATCATGAATTGTGATAACATTAACGTTCCTTAAAGCTATCAGCCATAATATTTTGATAATACTCCCATCTCTTCGTGATGTACAGCATCCTATCCATAAAAGACTTTTCTTAGTAATCCATCTGGTATTCTATTTGACATGTCAGGATGCTCAAAAATTCGTACCCAGTGTATAAAATTCAATGTGCGGAATGTGCAGATAGTTTCTAAATTTGTAGAAATCTGCATTAGTTACACACTGAAATTTATACACTGTTCGTACCATTTCCTCATCAGCAAGATTGGCTCCATTATAATCACCATTATTGAGTTCTTCCAATTCTATCATTCTGACATGTAATATATCTAAATTCAAGATCTTCGTGTATACTAAATAATCCTCTAGTTTTAAATATTTCTTGATAAAATCGATTTATAACACATATTCATTGTATGATTAATTTGCATTATATTCCTTTTTGTCTTTATGACTACAATCAATTCACATAACAACATTGTAATAATCTTTTTATCGAGAGTGAGTAAATCTACCTTTGTTTGTATGTCTTTGTAAATTCTTCAAGTCTAGAAAACCATAGGTGTGTATTTTGTTGAGTATTATTAGGTTTGCATAATAACATATTTTTGTAAAGTTTCTATACAAGGACATTCATATGTTTCTTTAGAAATTGACGATTTTGAAATTCTTGGAAAGTTGAGCATTTTCTAAATGAGTTAGTCTTTCTTTTAATTCATTTATAATTTCAATTATTCTGAGGCTGTTTTAAAACTAGCCATTTTTTAAAAAAAGCTATAAATAAGCTACAAACAGACTTTATAACTGCGTAAATGACATGAGATAAAATTATTTTCCAGCAAAATTATTTCCAAACTAATTTCGAATGGGTCAACACTATTAATAATTTTACGAATAATAAGTTTACATTTATTCATAATATTATTACAGTTTCAACGAATTTATTATTATTATTATAAAATTCGCGTTACAACGAATTTTTGCTTCACATATAAAAATTCGTTGAAACGCGATAAGTAATTTTGGTATACTTGATTTTATTTGTTATTCAGTTATTTTATTTTTCACACGGTATATACCGATGATATATGTCGTTTATAATAATAAACTTTTTAAAGTTGATTATTTTTTATGTAACATGTCACGGAAACAAAGCATTTCATTGGCTGCACGTGACACCCATAAAGAATAAAAATTTTTGCATAAAAATAATAATTTATTTTATACATCATTATCACTAAAAAAAATTTTATATAATTATTGATTAAGATAAGATTCTATTGTAGCTTGCCTCATTGTATTTATTGTTTTCAATCTAATATATCTATCAAGAGAATTAACCAGTTTCATTTGTTGACTAGAATGAACAATTCTTTATCCACCTCTTACAAAATAATTCTGTCATACTAATAAATTTAATTCTTTGCCTTTTACTAATAATAAATTAATTCTTTATCATCTCTTACAAAAAATCAATTCTTTATTGTTAACACAAAGAAAAAGTATTTTAATTTAATAACATCGCACAATTTTTATTAGACAACGATCACGTGAAAGTCACGGGAGTGCACTTAGAGAGGGAGTTTTATATAGATGGGAATGAAAAAAGACCGTGCAGTGCAGGGGGAAGGGGGTGTGCACTTATCTCTAATTTCCAAGCTTGAGAGTGAATGAAAGCGTGCACTTAGAGGGGGTTGGCTGTACTTTTAAAAATCCGGATTTCCTTTAATATTAATATTATCTAACATTCTATTATGTGGGCCCCACGTGGTAATTATGGCCTTACAAACCAAAATCCTGATTTTCGCTCGCACTTACTATTTTTAGACATAGTCACACGATCCGGATGGCAACTACGATTATTATGATGACAATTTATTAAAATGAACAACTATATATAATAGTAGTTTATCTTATTGTTTGATAATTTGGATACAAAGAATTGGAGAATAATAATCAACAATAAAGAAATTTATTTATTAATGATAGACCTTTGGTACTGTACATCAAGCAAGGTTTGAATATTTCAGAACAAAGCTCTAAAGGGTTGTATTTTTCATATGTAATCATTAGTTATTTCTACATAAGAATACATTTTAGGTTTTTAACTCACTATAGAATTTTTAAATCATTCAAAAATTCCCAGAATTGAATTATTTTTTACAAGGACTTTTATTTATCAATTGATAATGGCATTGGGATTGAGTGAATGAATGGTGGTGAGGCCTGGATATTTTATATACAACCATTAATTATTTTACATAAGAATACACTTTAGGTTTTTAACTTACTGTAAAATTTTAAATTATTCAAAAAATCCCAGAATTGAATTATTTCTTATTATTATAAGGCCAATTGATGATTGCATTGGATTAAATAATAGTATCAAAGCTTGGATATTTTATATATGGTCATTGGTTATTTCAACATAACAATATGTACACTAACTAACTACATCAAATTATTAAAAGGATTACAAAAGATCAAATATTAGATGTGATAGTGATGTCATTAATATATACAATGTGTTTCAAAAAAAATGGCACCAAAATGTAAATTTATTTTAAAAAATTTTCACATGACAAAAGATGATTGGGTGATGATAATAAAGCTTGTATATATGTTTATTACATGGCGTTTGCAATAGGATAATGATCCAAAGCGCATCATGTATTACAAAAACCTTCATTTTTGAAAAAAGAATTTGCATAATAGACTGGCCATCCAACAGTCCTGACCTTAATCCCATTGAAGACATGTGGTATATCATAAAAGATAATGTTGAAAAAAGGACGCCAAGGAATATTGATGAATTGAGAGATTTATGATTGAAGGAAACCGTCAAAAATATTATTATGTCTATGAAACAGAAATGTGAGTTTGTTTTAGAAAAAAAACAGTGGTATAATTTCTTATTGATTTTTTTATTTAATAAAATATTTGATAAGCCTTCAAATGAATCTAATCTTGTTTATCTACCTTGCATAATTGTTGAGATATGTGATTTTTTGTGCGAGCCATTTTTTCGAAACTAACTTTTCTTTATATTCATCGATTTGTTTTTTAATTTCAGTTTTAGATATAGAGATGTATGTGAATTGAAATTATGTGAATTTGAAATATTATGGAGCGGGGTGAAATTCTTGGCTAATTTGAATTCCACATATGTAAATTTGAATCTCATATATGTGAATTGCGAATTCACATAATTTCATTCTCGCGTACAACAGAGACATAGCCTCATTATTCCACAATAAATAAATAAACAAAAAATTTGAATCAAAAAACTATATTAATATATAACTAACATTGCTAAGTCACGAAATAATCGATCATCTATTGGAAAACCAAGATCAGGATCGCCGATATAAATCCAATAACATATTGTATAATAATATAGTAGTTGTAATATATATTCGCACTTACCAGAAATTATTTGTTTGTCTGAGTTCGCCCGTAGAGAGCAGGAAATCACATGTAGTAGTGATATTATACGTGACTTGGATCAACAAATCAGAATACATATATTACATGCTAGGATGGCAAAAATAGACAAGTAAATCTCAGAATAGCGGAGCTAGTGCATTTGGCACATAAAAAAATCTTGACATATGACGACCGAGTCGTAGATTAAAAATAGGGGTAATTCTTAATGACTAGAATGTTTATGTATAATTAACTTGATTTTTTAATATCCTTATCTTACTACTTATCGCTTATATTATATGGGTTGTAGTATCGAAATATAACCAGAAAAAAAATAAAAATAATATACGCGAAGTTATATATAGAGATATGATACCACAGCCATTCTTCCATCTTCCTCGTGTACACAAGGTTAATCTGACCTGATACACTCGATGATACAATGTTGCTGCTAAATTCCAGGTGGGACACGTGGCCCTGGAATGCATCAAGACTGCATCAATCGTCGACGACACTTGATAATCTTCCCAGACCAGAGAAGGCTGCTGCCATGTAAAACATCATATGTAATTATTATCTGAGTTCAAAATGAGTTTATTTTTACCTTGTAGAACAACTTTTATTTAATATACAATGCTTTCTGTTGGTATTTAAATATGAAGCTTGCAAAGCGTTAAACGACGATGATTATCTGGGGTTGAAATATTTTGTTAAATCAGTACAGTTTTCTTATTTTTTTTTCTAAAAATGCATCATGCATAAAGCTCTGAATGGTTCGGTTCGGTTTTTCAGTTTACATTTGATCCAAAAATTCGGACATTCTAAGTTCATTAACTACGCAAAAATATATTCACAAAAAAATTATAATATTTGTAGCTTGGCTTTGGTAAATATGTGTTGCGAAGTAGAGGTGTTGGAAGGGTCCTGTTTCTAAATACATACAGTCTATAATTTTATACCATTATAGCAAAGGCCTATTTCTTACCAAAATTAGAATGGAAACCATGATTGAATTTCATATATAATGCCATTAGATACAGCCGGTTATAGTTAGTTATGAATTATTTTATTTTACCGTTACATATTCATATATAGTAGCAATACAAATCCTTATTCGCTTCATTCTAATTACTTGTTTTATTCGTTTTATTCAACTAATACTAAACTTTCAATGTAATTTGAACACAACAAATAAAATAATTCAAATAGAAACCTTAACAACATTCTATTTTTTTCTATTCATATATAAAATTCATTGTCTCCGTCAACTTTTTAAACACATGCAAATTCTTATTGTTTTAAGTCCATGCTTCCAGAAAAATTCGTTCAGCCGGGACACTGGCTGCCATAATAAGTTTAAATAAGCAGAGTGCAAAAATCAGAATACCAGGGACTGTCAAGTAGTTTGGAGCTTTATCATTAATTTTACTCGTCATTTAATTAATTAATTCCAATTCACTACATTTATTTTTTAGGAAAATAATAGAAATGTTCTTTAAAATTTCTTGATTTTAAATGTTTTAATAAGATTCTATTCTTTAGCCATATTTCAAGTACTAAAAATTGACAAATTTTTCCTTTTAATAATTAATTATTGACTCATCATCATTATTAATACTACCATCTTTATTTTTTGAACTTTACATAGAAAAAATATCGTTAGGTAAATATATAGTAAGATAATAAATAATTAATAATTAATAATTCTGCTATCCATTAATTATTTGAAAAATTTCTAATTCATCAAACTTACTACCATGTACAATATTGATATTAGCATAACTTGATGCTCCAATATAAATAATACCATTTGTTTGAAACCAAATATCATGATTACCTCTACCAAAAATTGGCAAATGAGTAGGATGACAATAAAATTCATATTGATCCACGTTATTAATAACATAACTAAATTTTGCAGTATTTATATCATTTCTATTACTTATATTAAATATAAAACTTTCAGTTGTATTCTTTAATTCACTATTTCCATTCCAATTAAGTGGGTTATAACCACCAACTATTTGCTCCGAATTTTGTATTTTGCCAACTACAAGAGTTTTGTTTATATTATCACATTTTTGATGAAATGTAGTAGCATTTAAACCATCTCTACTACTACGATATAAAAGTTTGAATTTATATTTGACTTCCCTGAATGAACTATATGGTGGGCTTTTCCTATCAATCCAACTTGCAAAAAGCAAGGTTAAGTTTTGATTGATTGTTAATGATTCAAATGTTGGTTTCAAATTTGAAATTCTTGATGGCAATAAATTTAATGTTTGTTGTCTATCAGGAAATAAATAAGATTGTGAAATGGATCTCCACAAAGTCCTAGGAAAAAGCATGTCATATGGTTCAATTTTATCAAAAAAATCCTCTTTAGAGATATCCTGAAATCTTATTAGAGAAAGGAATTCTTTCAATGTGTTACCTAAATCAACAAAATTTTGTAATGGCCAATCTTCAACATTGGTATTATTGATTTCAGGATGTTTTGCTAATCCCCATTTAAGAAGTTTCGTCACCTGGAACGTGAAATTATGAGAAAAGAAATAATTGAAAAGGAAAAAGAAATAATTGAAAA